GGCGGGGGTCGCACAGGCCGGTCCGTCAGTCCGTCCGACGGGCTGCGCGCTCCGCACTGGGCCTCGACCACGCGCCCTCCTCGACGGCCGCTTCTCTCTTTCCTCCCTTTTCCCTGCCCTCCTTCCGCTCCTGTCTCCGGCTCTCGAGGCGCAGTCTCTCCGTTGGGGCTCGGGCCCGGGCAGCGTAAAGGGAGGGAAAGAAAACAGATGGCGACGGCGAGCGGCGCTAAAATGGAGCCTGCTTCCTGCGCGAAACAATCCCGCTCCCAAAATGCCCCGCGCTGTGTACGCTCCGTTCCCTCTGAGCACGTCACAGTGCGTAGGGCGTCGAGTGGGAGCGCGGCGACGTGCTGCGTGACGTCAGCACGTCAGCACGTCTGCCCGCCCCGCGCAGCCCGGAAGTCTCTGGAACCAGCCTCCTACTGGGAAGCGAGGTTTTTACCGTTTGTTTATGGCCCGAGTACTGGGCCGCCGGCACCTAGGCGATGCAGTTTTTCCATCCGAACTTCGCAGAGGACCTTTTAGTTAGGTAAGAAGTGACAATCAAAAAGGATGTTATTTGATGTTTACTCAATTTTCTTTTCTTTTTGAGACAGGGTCTCGCTATACAGTTCAGGCTGGCCTTAAACTCAGTAGCCCAGGCTCGTCTCGTACTCGTAATGATCCTCCTTCCTCTGCCTCTCCAGTGCTGGGATTACAGGCGTGCAGCCACCACACCCGACGATGTTCATTCACTAAACCAACCAGGGTTAAATTTCCAGTTAGTCCTAAATTTCCAGTTAGTCTACGCCCTAGGGTGGAAAACTTGTTTGAGATTTATTTTCTGCCCTCAAGGACACGTGAGTTTATATTCCAGTTATAAGAGGCAACGTAAATAAACAAATTTAAATTGGTTAAATTTTATTAAATAAACATAAAAAGTTAATATAGTGCAGGGAAAAAATTTTTAATGGAGAAAAAAAAAAAAAAAAAATACTACTAGGTGGGTGTGGTGGCGCTTGTCTTAATCCCAGCACTGGGAAAATTGAAGCAGGAAGATCGCCCCGGGCTCCACATGGTGAATTTAAGGACAGCTTGCGCTACAAAGGGAGAGCCCCCCTCAAAAAAAAAGTTAAATAAATAATTAAAACTACTACTACTAAAAGCCTTAAACTACTACTACTAAAACTTAAACTACTAAAAGCCTTTGGAAATGAAGTCTGATCCCTGGAGGGTAAAAAAGCCAGCTAACAAAAAGTAGAGCTAAATCTTCAAAACAGCCAACAGCGCATACAGTGCTCAGAGAGAGGAAGAGAACTTGATGTGGTTGAGGATCTGTGGAGAGAACACCAGTGAACCTGAACTCAAATAAGGAGTGAGAAGACAAGTGGCTGAGATGAGGTTTGGAAAAAAGCCACACCTCAAAAGTAAGGATCTAATAAGATTTCAACTAAAACAAAAGCAACACAAGATGTATAGAGAGATTGGATTTTGCGGTTGAGCACACTGGAATATGGGGATAGAAAACACTTTGGTTTTTCACAGAGCCTGCACTGTCTGAATCCATGAGTTCACTGAAAATATGCCTGAATCCATGAGTTCACTGTGATCAGAACAATTAATCAGTCCATTTTGGAAGATGTAGGAAACCAGTTTTATTATTTTGGTAACAGTAAAAAGAAATCATTTACTCTGTCTTTCCAATTAGAACTATATGTCAGGGTTATCAGACAATTAGTTGATGAAGGGAAGTGTCTCTTTATAGAAATTTTAGCCAGGCATGGTGGCACATGTCTGTAATTCCAGCACCCAGGAGGCTGAGGCAGGAGGATCATTGTGAGTTTGAGATAAGCCTGGGCTACAAAGTGAGCTCAAGGCTAGCCTGAACTGCATAGTAAGACCCTGTCTCAAAAAGTCAAAAAAAAAAAATAATAATAATAATAAGTTTTATACTTTATGTATGGCCAGAGCAAAGCAGTGGCAGAAGGTAGTATATCACCATTAGTAGTATCACCGTTAGTATATCACCATGAATCAAATAAACAGATCAGTACAGTGATTGCTAGTGGGTACTAATTAATATAACAAAAGACTGACAGGTCTTATATGCCTCCTGACAGAAGTACACATAGATCTATAAAATCATTTTGCCAAAAAATTAAACTGGATCCCATAAAGACTGGATTCATTGTGACATGACTGCCATGACTGTATGGATTCACCTTGAGTTGTAACAGCCATGATTGCAACCTCTGAGTAATCCTAGCTGGTTTTCTCTGCTTATTTTCCCAACATACTATAAATAGACAAAACTTTTAGAGTGGCATATGACTATTGTGACCAGACCCTAGCCCCAGGAATGTGTCTCTTTGATGCTAGCTTGAGATAAAACAGGTACATTCTACCTTAGATGAAGTCATTTTTGTCCTTCTGATCCGTATCACAGAGATCTGGTCTTGGCTGCTGCCCAATAAATTGCACTCTGTACAATCCTGGAACTGTCTGCCTCTTTTTTTTTTTTTCTTTTTTTAATCTCACAGTATCTTGCCACTGATTGTCATATACTGTACTAGAATCAGGTTATTCTAGAACAAAGACTTTAGTTCTCAGTCAAGGGAAGAGAGGTTGAGGATGAGAGTGAGAGGAAAACGGTGATTGGAGAAATTTGTGGTTAGCCACGACAGAGAGTTCTACCAGCATATAATGGATAGATGCCTGGGATACTGCTGAACATGCTGTCATGCATAGGAAAACGTCCCCAGAGCAAAGAACTACTCCACTCAAATGGCAGTATCCAAGGATGAGAAATCCAGGATGTAAGCAGAGCACAAGTGAATAGGTTAAGTATTCCCACATAAATACCATTAGCAAAATGCAGACGGGGAAACTACAGAATAAATAAGTTGACAGAGAGTAAAGAAAGATGGAAGAGGGATCTATTTACATACTACAATAAACTTGCTAGAAATGTGTATACACCAGTTGCCATACATGGGTGTCATAAGTTGCATTATTCCCCTAAAATGAAATTCTGACTTTCAGTTCTTCAAAGTACCACCTTATTCAAAACTAAGTTTTTTCAGATGTACTTAAATCAAGATGTACATTAACTAAGATTTCTAAGAGGTCCTTAATTAAGAGGTCAAGCTGGTACATTTAGGAGGGAAAAGAGACAGACTCACACAGGGAGAAGGTCACCTGGGACAACAGACCACGGAGTGCAGCAAAGAAACACCAAGACGTGGCAGGCAAAACCAGAAACTAGAAAAAGCAAAGATTCTTTCCTACAGGTTTGAGAAGGGGCCAGTCCTATGAACATCTTCGTGGTTTCAGAGAAAAAAGTGGTAGGTGAATTGAGTAACCCTAAGAAAAGAGTGTAGAATAGAGGGGAATAGAATTAGTCCTTGATTTCAGACTTCCAGCCTCTAGAACTTTGGTTAATAAATCTGTTCATCTAAGCCACTCAGTTTCTGGTACTGTGTTACACCCATTGTAGGAAACTAGATCCTTACTTGGGTATTGATTGAAATACATGAACACACACACTCTCTCACATAAACAGCATGTAAGTTGTAAATACCTGATGGTTTTAATAAATTTCTGTTAGTTTTTTAAATTGTGACAAGTTACATTTTTAAGACAAGCACAACTCTAAAATTCAATCACGTCACTAAAAGGCAAAGTTATTGTGGTTATAAAGGATGGAATAGTCGTTTTGTTGAGCATTGATCTGTCCAAGAAAGCTATTGGGTATAGTGATTAAAGCACCGGCTTTGTAGTCATTGTGACTACAGAGCTGGTGCAAATTCCAGCTCTGCCACTTACTAACTGAAGACCTTAGATAAAATCACCGAATCTTTAGCATCTTTCTAATGAAAACTTAGAAATTATTTCCCAAGGGTTTTGATAATAAAAGGATCAGAAAAAGTTAAGTGTAAGATCGATTTACAATTTCATTACAATCATGTGGCATGTAAAGATGGGATACATTATGAAAACCACATCATTAGGTAATTCCAGCATGGTGTGAACATCAGAGTATACTTAATGCAAACCTAGGTAGCTGATCTCTTAACATGGCCTCTTGATATAATCAAGATGTATGAGGTAAACAAGATGAGTGAGGGTCCTGTTGATGTGAAACAGCATGCCATTTTGCAGTAAATTAACTTTAGAAGTAGGAGTCTATTCTAAAATAGTAATATAATAGAAACAAACTGGTAATATAGTAATATTATCGAGTATATATTTCACATAACATGCTATAGTTTTATACACCTGGTAGCACAGTAGGTGTGTTTATGCCAGCATCATCACAAACACTTGTAATATTTTGCACTACAGCATTGGAATGATTACCACTCAGTTACAATCTTATGAAATAACTGTCACTGTTTACTATCAGTGTGTTCCATCATTGGCTAAAATGTTATTTGTTCGTGTTATTTAATATATGACTATAGACGTCATGGAGAATTGCAGTTTCTGCCCTACTGTAGGGGACAGAAGGCTTTTCCATGCCTTTAAAAAAGACACATATTATTCATATCAACAAAGCATGTTACAAATAAAGTCTTCTGTGACAGAGAACCCATAAGCCATGCTAGCTTCATGTCCTAGAGTAGCTGAACTCAAAAACTCGATCTTGAGGAAGAGTTGGTGAGAGAAATACTAACAGTGCTCAGTTGTTTCCTTTTTTTTTTTTTAACTAAAGAATAAAAATTAGTAAGTCTGTAGACAGATCTCTGTCTTCAAACTGTCCTTCAATGAAAAATCAAATCTCAGAGATAGGAGTCATTCTGATGGACATGTCTCAAAGCCCCTCCAAACCCAAATTACCTGTTATTTTTTGTTTTGTTTTTCCCAGTACCAAGGGGTTGAACCCAAGGCCTTCACACTGAGCTACATCCCCAGGCCCTGCCCTTTTTTGTTTAGTTTTTTGTCTGTAGTGTTTATCAATTTCTATGGCATAAATGTTCCTCCCGTGACCAATGTCAAAGTACCAGTGTGACATGACATCACAACATTGTAACTGGGAAGAAGTGAACAATTAGTGCCATTTCCATTTTGCTGTATTACTATCATATCACATAGCAGATGTTGCTGTAGTTACTTCTCTCACTGTTGAGACAATACCCAATACCTAAAGTTAAAGGAGGAAAAGTTTATTTTGGCTCACGGTTTGTAGAGGTTTCATCTCATAGTCAGCTGGCTCCAAGGGGGGTGACATGATGGGGTATTGCAGAGGAGAAACAGTCCATGGCAAAGCAGAGCAGGCAGAAGGCAGCAAGAAGTCCAAGTGACCTTAGCAGCTCCTTTCCGCCCTTTACATATGCTATCTAGGCTACCAGGTTTAGGGCAGGTGCCAAGCCAGTCAGTGGACTGATTTAGGAATCACACACCCTTAATCCCAGCATCATACATTCTAGATCCAACCACCTCTGAGAAAACCCCCACCTATGACTGCATGAGGCTTTGAGGGGACATCTAGACTCAAGCCACAACATTTCAGCCCCCTGAAAATCCCTCCCATGACTGCCTAAGGCTTTG